AGGTTCGCTCGCACCTTGGCCGGGGGCGCCCAGCCAGCTCCGCCACGCCGCCCAGCCCGCTCGCGGCCCCGCCCCCGCGGCGCCTCGGCCTGCCCCGGAGGAGGGGAGGGAGGAGGGGAGGAGGGAAGGAGGGAGGACGATGAGGCGCGCCCGAAGCTCCGCCCCCGCCCGCCGTCCGCAGGAAGTGCGCCCTGAGCCCTCGGCCGCTGTCCTCCGCGTGGCCACCCTTGCCTCCAAGAGGCTACCCTGTGGAGGCTGCGCGCGGCCCCCGGACAAATATTCAACGGAAATCAGAGGTGGAAAAAGACGTTGGAGCATCCTGTTCCATTCCGCCCGCGTTTACTGAGGCGCCCGCGGCAGGCACGCGGGGGGCCGGGGGCTTTGGGGCCCGCACGGGAGTCGGGATCGCCTGGCCTCGAAGATAACCCAAAATGGAAGGAATCACGCCGCATATTATAGGAATGGCATAAAAGACTGTGAGGCGCAAAGGAGCTGGAGGACACGGGGTGGGAAACCTAGAAGGGAATTCAAGGAGGCCGTGTGAGGGTTCTGACCAAGCGCGCCTACAGATCCCCAGGCCCTCTCGGTGAACCTCAGAGGAGGGAGCATCAGAAAGGGAGGGAGTGCTACAAATGATGTAGGACCCACTCACACCTTGACCCAACTGTGCCTTTTGAGAGAACCCAATTTTTCATGCGTTTGTGCTTCCTTTCTAGGCCTTTGGCTGGGCTGAATTCTCGTTTTTATTTGCTAGCAGAGTGGAGATAGTCAAGGCGTTACTTGACCCGTTTGGGGTGGAAGTTCACCGACTTTAACCACCTTACCTGTCTCCGCATTTTCTTAGGGTCAGGTCAGTAGGGGGCATCAGTCTGCGCAAGAATAGATGGCTTCTAGCAAAGGAATGGGTAGGGAGTATTTTTGCCTATGGATTTCCAACCTATTTAGGTTTGTCCAGTTTCATCTGACAAATCTTTAAGATTTTATTTTATTTTTTAAGTTTATTTTGAGAGAGAGAGAGAGAGAGAGAGAGAGAGAGAGAGCACGCGGGCGAGTGGGGGAGGAGCGGAGAGAGAGGGAGAGAGAGAAACCCAGGCAGGCTGCATCCACTCTGTCAGCACAGAGCCTCAGGCCTCCAAATTCATGAAACTGAGATCATGACCTGAGCGGAAATCAAGAGTCAGATGCTCAACCGACTGAGCCACCCAGGCGCCCCTCACCTGACAGGTCTTGAAGTTGGGATTCACTGTGGTCTCCACCATGCCTTTATGAAGAAACAAGTGATCCTTCAGCTGGAGGAGAATGCAAAGAATTGAAGCTGAGCTAAAATATCACTCAGAGACTCGCTGAGCTTCAAAGACCTTATTTCCCCTGGGGTAATTCGCTGAGCCTTAGCCCTCAAGTTACCAGCTTTCCTCTCCCCCACATGGGTCTGCCTTGTTTGGGGACAATAGGACACAGAGGGCACTGGGAACAACTTTAAATTCTGCTTCTTGTCTACCTCCCAGGAATGCCAACGTCTGGTCCTCCTGGAGATGGGTAAAATTAATACTTTTATATTCAAGGGCTGCTTACAATGACTACAGACCCTATTAACTGTTCTTATAACATCAAAGTATGTAGCACGGATATAACTAGAAATGAATGTTCTATACATGTATAATATAGGTGATTTTTACAGAATAGTGTTATTTATTTTAACAACCAGGCCACCTTAACATAATAGAGATCTTATTTTACGAAGACTCCACATAGCTTTCTCCTCAGGTCACCAGGAAAGAGTGAAAAGAGAGCCACATTTGGATTCCTGCTTCGTCACTACAAGTGGGTGACCATGATCAAGTTTCCTAACCTTAATGAACCTGTTTCCTAACCTAGAAAGGAGGGAGCGCATAATAATAGTTACCTTGGTGGTGGCTGTGAAATAGCATATTCTGCAGGTAACGATCCTAGCAAAATGCTGATGCAGAATAGACACTCCCTAAATGTTCATTCCCTTCCTTTCCCCCTCTATCCGGTTTTCTCTACTATTGTTACAAAACAATAATTATAGAGTTTTCATAACTGAACATGCTGCACTCCAAACTCCTCTGTTTGCTTCGTTTGGGTCAGAGTACCATTTTTCTGTGCTCCTCCCAAAAACAAAAAATAAAACCCAGAAAACCAGAGTTCCTAAAAGGCCATACGAAAGAGTTTATTTATTTTCCAATTTCCTGGTTGGTCAATGGCATCTGGCCACAATGATCCAGTGGGTAGTCATCAAAACTAAAGAAAGTGAACTTCCATGGAAAACATTTTGGTATAAAGTTTCCACCATTCAAATTTAGCCCAGAACTGCCTATTCATACTCACCACTTCCTGTTGTATTTTAGTATTCCTTGTGGTGGGAAACTGTCACTGAAATAACGTTAAGTGTCCTACAGTATGTGACTGTGCTACTAAAAGTTTTCAGAGCAACATGGTGGGAAGGAGGAAATGTGAAGTTTTTATATCTGAGCGGAAGGTTCTCGTGTTTGCTAGAGTTTATGGAGGGAAGCTTGGATCTCTAGGGCTGAGTTCTGATGAAGAACACACTGGATATTATATGTACGTGGGGGCACAGGGTAGATGCCACCAACCCAAGAACACAGGATGGAGCCTTCTGGCATCCAAAGGGAATCTTAGGCACTTAGGCTGACACCTTTCATGAGACAGGGTCTTGGACCCCAGAATTTTTTAAGTTTGCCAAGCCGGAATCCTGTAAACCTTACCAGCAAGTCTATCTGGGCTTTACACGAGCACCCAGACCTCAGAAACAAAGCAGAGTCGCAACAAAGCATTCTCTCTTTCTCTCCCCTGGTACAGCATGTGCTTAGGCCTTATTCATGTTTGTGTTAGCTGCTTATCCTCTCCTGGTTTTTAATACAATCGTAGCTTTATTTTATACGGCATCCCAAACCCTGCCTCAAAATAACACCACCACTTCTGAAGTGGATGGCTGATGAGGACAAAGGGGGTTTTCAAAGAGCATTCAGAATGACATGTAGAAAGCCACAGAAGCCTGTCTCAAACAAGAGGACAACTGAGAAGACACTATCGCCAACACAGGCAAAATTGTATGGACAATCTAATTCAGCCAGTGATGTCCCAAGAAAAAGAAAAAGCCAGCAGGTCCACTTGAGGCCAGGATCTGAAGAGTTTTGTAAACAAGAAATTGGACTTTGCCCCAGAACCAGCAGAGAGGCTTGTGGCTAAATCATAGGATCATTTTGTATTTCCATATCGAGACTCCTGGCCCCCAAAGCACTGAGACCTTCTGCAGTGGATAATGCAACACAGGCCATGGAGCTGGTGCCTCAGATCCACCTGTGAATTTGTTAAAATGAAAATTTTTAGGCCCTATCCAAGAGATTCTGATTCTGGGTGGGCCTGGAATCAACATTTTTAAACAAGTCTCTCGGTGATACTGATGCTGATCTATAAACTGCACTTTGAGAAACACTGTTCTCTGAGCTCCACCCATTTCTCTAAACCATAAGCTGACCTTCCAAACCACCTTTTGTAAACAGCATTTTAAGTGCTTACTTTGGAGAAATTTCCTGTTTGCTGAAAAGTTTCTTAAAAGACAAATTTCTTTTGCAGAATTCTATTACAGGGAACTTTTGCCCTAAACTTTAATGGTTCTTTTTATGGAGCATCTACCAGGTGCTTAAAATTTTGGAGAAGAAGCTTGGTGAACTAAACTGTTGACAGATTCATTTTATAGCTCTGCCTGTGGAATGCCTCACAACAGAGTGGGTATTTTTCAAAGCACCCAAAAAGGCCATTCTTTGGATGGCCTTGCAAGCTCCTGGTAACTGGGCTTCGTCTGGCCATAGAAATGTAATTCACCACCTTCACAAGGGATACCTGCTACCTGGCTTTCTTCACAGGCAGGCTCTGGAGGGTGTGGGTTTGTACCTATTCTTTTTTGGTGGCTACCCATTAGAGAGGGTGAGCTGGAGAAGATACAGAGCTGACAAATACTGGAAGCCCAGGCATTGAGCCTCATTAGTAGTGAATCTTTAGATAAGGTGGAAAACCTACTCACTGGCTGTGTACCTACTTACATGATAGTTTTTGGTTCCATTGCTAGAAATGATCCTTACAAGGCATCTAGAAGGTAAACATTCAGATATCCTATGACCCAGTAGTTCTACTCCCAGAACACAACAGAAATGCATGAGTATATTCATCAAAAATGGATTTGCGAATCTCTACAGCAGCAGCATTTGTAATAGCCAAAACTAAAAATAATTTATGCAACCTTCAACAGTGATACAGTCACACGAATGGAATGTTACACAGCAATGACAGTGGAGGAACAACATGGTGAGTGAATCTCACAAATACAATTTTTTTCTTTTTTTAAATGTTTATTTTTATTTTATTTATTTACTTCCTTATTTATTTTTTAAATTTATTTTTAAGAGAGAGAGAGAGGGGGGCGCCTGGGTGGCGCAGTCGGTTAAGCGTCCGACTTCAGCCAGGTCATGATCTCGCGGTCCGTGAATTCGAGCCCCGCGTCAGGCTCTGGGCTGATGTCTCAGAGCCTGGAGCCTGTTTCCAATTCTGTGTCTCCCTCTCTCTCTGCCCCTCCCCCGTTCATGCTCTGTCTCTCTTTGTCCCAAAAATAAATAAACGTTGAAAAAAAAATTAAAAAAAAAAAAAAGAGAGAGAGAGAGAGCAAGCAGTGGAGGGGCAGAGAGAGAGGGAAACAGAATTCCAAGCAGGCTCCATGCTGTTAGCGCAGAGCCTGACATGGGGCTTGAACTCACGAACTGTGAGATCATGACCTGAGCTGAAACCCAGAGTCCGATGTTTAACCAACTGAGACACCCAGGCACCCGACAAATACAATTTTTTAAAAAATGTTTATTTTGAGAGAGAGTGCACACGCATGCGTGTGCATGTGTTCACAGAGAAGGGGCAGAGGGAGAGGGAGGGAGAGGATCCCAAGCAGGCTCCAGGCTATCAGCGCATAGCCTGACACAAGGCTCAATCCCACCAACTGCAAGATCATGACTTGAGCAGAAATCAAGAATAGGATGCTTAACCAACTGAGCCACCCAGGCACCCCACAAACACAATTTTTTTTAAGTAACCTCTATGCCTGGGGCATCTGGGTGGCTCAATCGGTTAAGCATCCGACTTCAACCCAGGTCATGATCTCATGGTCTGTGAGTTCAAGCCCCGCGTCGGGCTCTGTGCTGACAGCTCAGAGCCTGGAGCCTGCTTCAAACTCTGTGTCTCCCTCTCTCGCTGCCCCTGCCCCCCTCACGCTATGCCTCTGTCTCTGAAAAATGAATAAACCTTTAAAAATAGAATCTCTATGCCCAAGGTGAGACTCGCACTCGTGACCCCCAACATCAAGTGTCACATGCTTTACTGACTGAGCCAGCCAGGTGCCCCTCACAAACACAGTATTGAATGAAAGAAGCCAGATACAAAAGAGTATCTACTTTATGACTCGGATGGTTTGAAGTTCAAAAACAGGCAAAACTAAAATGCAGTGCTAAAAGTCAGAATAGTGTTACCTTTGTCTTTGTGGGGGTTTCTGGGGTACTGATAGTATTTTCTTATCTGGGGACTGGTTTCACACAACACATTCATATTTTGTGAGCCTTCATGTTAGGCTGCCTTAAAAGTTTATGTAAAAAAGGCATCTGGTCTATGACCCTCACTTCCTAAATGAGGAAACTGAGGCCCAGAGATATTAAGTAACTTGCTCAAGGGCAATCAGCTGTTGCTGTCCTACTGTTGAGTGCTTCCTTCCATTTGGATGCATAGTGATTCACACGTGGGTTTGGGCAATACTTGCTCAAGTAAACCCAAAGGTAAAGGAGTGAGGACATAAAGAAAAAGGAGAAGGACAGCGATGTCAGCAGCTAGTATTTGCCTACCAGTCATTTGTCCTTTCCTCTGGTGGTTGTCTGTTTCTCTTCCACCCTCCCTTTTGAACGCAGTCTTGTAAGGGCTTGGTGCCTGGAGCCGCTACAGCCATCTTGTGGCCATGAGTGGAGATATTCCCAGTACCCGGGCATCATTGAGCCAAGGCACCAGACTCCAAATTTCTTAAGTAAAAAGTAAACATTCCTATGGTCCCAGGCAGTTGAATTGGGACCCCTGTGACATGCAGCTGAACCCATCCTTAGGAATTCAGAGGAAGAACAATACAAGCAGGCAGGAGGGGATCTCAGAAGAGAGTCCCCCTTGTGGGTAGCAACATTCACAGCAGTGGTACCATCCTTCCATCATATGCATTCTCAAATGGGGCCATATTGTCCCTCAAAGGGGTGAAAATCAGTTCTTGGGGTAGCGGTAGGGCAAAAAAAAGTCTTAGCTATTACAATGGTTTATGGCTCTCCAAAGCTGACCAACAAAATTTTATTCTTCAGTATTTAATTTTTCTTGTTTTGGCAAATTTAAACCTACTTCACTTTTCCCCCTTAGGGGCAGTGATGAGGATAAAGGGTTGAGAAACACTGCTCTCTAAAGACACAGGAGGGGACCTGGGTAGCTCAGTCAGTTACGCATCCGACTCTTGACTTCGGCTGAGGTCGTGATCTCACGGTTCATGAGTTCAAGCCCCGTGTAGGGCTCTGTGCTGACAGTGTGGAGCCTGCTTGGGATTCTCTCTCTCTCTCTCTCTCTGTCTCTCTCAAAAATGAATGAATGAATAAATAAATTTTAAAGATGAGGGAAGAGCTGTAGAACAGAAGAGGAATAGAGTTCCCGGCTTCCTAAGGTTGAGCTTCTGAGCCTTCCCAAAGCCTCGGAATTCTACCAGCTCTTCCCAGAACCTTGGCCCAGATTGGACCACTGTAGTAGGTCTAGCCAGACCTGCTCTGCTCAGCCCATCCTGTGCCTTGTCACCCAAGTGATCAATGACTGTGTGGGCCCACAGTCTTGTCCTCACTATACAGAGGTAAGGGGAATGCAGACAAGAGGCCTCATCTTTCTTTTTTTTTTTTAAGTTTATTTATTTTTGAGAGAGAGAGAGAGACAGAGCATGAAAGGGGAGGGGCAGAGAGAAAGGGAGACACAGAATCTGAAGCAGGGTCCAGGCTCCAGGCTCTGAGCTGTCAGCACAGAGCCCAACGCGGGGCTCGAACTCAGGAACCATAAGATCATGACTTGAGCCGAAGTTGGACGCTTAACCACCCAGGCTCCCCAAGAGGCCTCGTCTTTCTGTAGAACCTATGGGCAATGTAGCAAGATGGTGCCGGGGGGCACAGCAAGGAAGTTACACTCAGTGCCCAGACTTTCGGTCCAGGTGAGGTGACTTGCTAACGGCAGGGCCCACACCATCTGCTAGCTAAGGTCATTGATCATGCTGGTATTTCAGATTCTCTGATTGGCAGCGCAGGAGGCTTGGTCTTCCCACTCGGGGGCCTCCTTTGACGTGGCAGGCAGCCCACCATCACCACTCACTCATGAAGGAAACAGCAGATTCAGGAAGCCGCACTCACCACATACCCACTAATCTGGTTCTCTCTGCTTGTTGGAATAGTAGCCTTTGAGTTTAGGCCAATATATGGAAACTTCTAGAAGTTTTATCTGCTGGCATGCTCATTTTTTCCAAAATCAAACCCAGTCCCTTGCAAGACTTCTTAAATCACACTATCCTACACTAATGAAGGTTCATTCAACTCCCAATTTCTAGTGCGTGTAGTGTATCTTGGCTCCTCCAAGTCAGCATCCTTGTGAGGTTGTCAATCTTCTAAGTTCACTCATTCCACTGCTTGTTGTCATCAAGTCAAAGCAGACTGAAGTTCTTCCTAGGAAGAGCCACACATCCAGTCCCTCAGAGTGGGATCTTAGGAGGTTATTGATGATGCCATTAAAGTAATTGAACACTGAAATGAAAGCAGAGTTGTAACTTCACCTTGAACACGAGGTTTCTGTACAGTCTCAGGACAAAAAGCTTTGCTCTGCCAATTTCAGTCCATCCACCAGCACCAGTACTACCCAGAACCCCCTGGAGGGCTACATGGCTCGTACTATCTGGAGAAACTTTAAGGGGATACCAGAAACGAAATCATGCCACTTCTCCCTTAATAAAAAATGTATGCTACAAAATCATAATTTGATATATTAGCATAATTACAAATCGTACTTTTTTTTTTAATTTTTTTTTCAACATTTATTTATTTTTGGGACAGAGAGAGACAGAGCATGAATGGGGGAGGGGCAGAGAGAGAGGGAGACACAGAATCGGAAACAGGCTCCAGGCTCTGAGCCATCCGCCCAGAGCCCGACGCGGGGCTCGAACTCACGGACCACGAGATGGTAACCTGGCTGAAGTCGGACGCTCAACCGACTGCGCCACCCAGGCGCCCCCAAATCGTACTTTTTTAAGCTAATTTTCCTGGAGTAGAGAGGATGCCTTTTAGTTTTGATAATATTGCTGCTAACAGTATTCCATTACATGGGTAAGAGAAACTACACCGTATCTGCTCCTTCCAGCTGAGACCTAGGGGACTTAGGCTAGTTGGGCAGGGAAAGATGGTAGATGGAATACCTCTCACCTGCCGCTTCGGGTAGTACAGAAGTCAAGAATGATAGAGGTGAGTAAGGTGAGAAGCCAAGATGGAAAAACCAGGGTAAGGGGTCTTGCTTGGTCACTCAAGCAAGGAGAGAGGGGAGGATGAAAGCAAGTGTTGGTGGGGAAGAAGAGAATCAGGGTTCAAGAACCAGGAACAACAGGTTGAGAAAATAAGCCTTCTGGTGGTCTTGAGCAGCATCTTGGGGCAAGAGGGGGTAAAGGATGTCATTGTGACCCATTGAACTTCCTAAGATAGGAGGCATGGAGTGGCCAGGACAACCAGAATCAGTTATTCTGGAAAGCTTCTCTGAGCTGGCTGGGGAATCTGGACAAAGGAAATGACTTTTCAAAATTCATTTCTGACCCACCTACAAAATTTGTTCACATTAAGCATGAGGTTGCAGAGACACCAACTCTTTGGGAAAGCAGGATGCTTTCTTGGCGTAGATATACTCCCTCAGGAAGGATGTGGCTAGCAAAAATGCTTCCCCTCCCCCAATTAAAAGATTTTAGAATAATTTTAGATTTACAGAACAGTTGCAAAGATAGTATGAAAGTTTTCAAATACCCCTCATCCAGTGTCTTCTATTGTTAACACTCTATATCACTATGGTACATTTGTCATGAGAAGCCAACCTTGGCACGTTACTATTAACTAAATAAATGGTATACTTTATTGGATTTTATTAGTTTTTCCCTAGTGCTCTTTTTTCTGTTACAGCATCTTGACCAGGATACCTCATTACATTGCACAGTCATGTCTCTTAGCCTCCTCTGGTTGACGGCAGTTCTCAGACTTTCCTTGTTTGTGATGCCCTTGCTGGGGCATCAGGCCCTTCAGGCATTTTACAGAATAGCCCTCAATTTGGGTTTGTC